GCGCCCCGAAGGTGGTGCCAGGCTAAGCGAACCCGAGGGGGGCCCGGCAGCAATGGGGTTAACCCACCACGGCCGAATCAGCCTCTCCAATTAACAGGCAGCAGGCGTGAAGCTGGCACCTCCGCCCCTGGAGCAGACGGGCGGCCGCCTCCACTGCCGCCTGAAATAGCAGCTCCCCGGGCCGGATCCTGCCCTGCTCCCATTAAGCCTGGAGTCACAGACCTCTGGGTTTGGCAGGAGCAAGGCTGGGCACCCCTCTTCGCCCCCCATCCCCGGGACCCCAGAAGCAAAGCGCCAGGGGTGTGAGACTTTGGCCCCGGCTGCTTTCCCGTCGCAGCCTGCAGCCGGCTCCAGGCTGGCACTGACCCGTGCTCTCCCCGCAGGACCAGGCGGGAGCTGGAGGTGCGCGTGTCCGACTGCATCCAGATAAGCCTGCGGGGCAAGAGGAGGCTGGTGGCTGTGCAGACGCGCCCCGATGTCGCCGCGCCCGACTTCGGCAAGAGCCGCGATGGCTTCGTGCTCTACTGGCCGCACAGCTGAGGTCAGGGGGCTTAGGGGCCTGCCTAGCCTTGGCCCAGAGGGTGGAAGGAGCCGACGTCACCCCTCCACCCAGCCAAGGCTGCGTCTGGGCTGGGAGGGCCCCACAAGCTGCCTGGCCCTGCCCAGAAGCCCCCAGGACCCGCACTGGATCCCCTCTAGGAGGAGAGGCCCAACAACCCCGGCCCTCGAGGAGCCAGACAGCCGTCGGCTGGCAGAGCCGGCTCCAGCCCCATGTCCTTCCCTGCCGGCTTCGCACCTCCTTGCCCCCTGCCCTGACCTGCTGGCTCCCCCCGGTGCCCCGTCACCCTCCAAAGAGGGACAGCCCAGACCCTGCTTGCATTGCTGCCAGGGCTGGAGCTCCCCTGCATCCCATTACCGGACAAATGCCCCAGCGCTGCGCGTTCAGATCAGTGGAGCCCAGCCTGGGTGCCCGGCAGGCTCTGTATGCAGGGAGCACCGCTGCCCCGGGCCCCCTTGTAAATAAACCAGAGCCCTGTGGTCACCAGACGAGGCTGGCATCATCTCATGGGCTGGCCAGGGGGACCCCCTCCCGAGCACAGCTCAGGCCTAGCTAAGGAGGTGCTGAGATCTGCAAGCCTGCACAGGGGACAGGAACAGGCTTCCAGCCTGCCGCAAACCAGGGGTCCTGGATGGTGCTGCTGCGTACTACTGGGGCTGTGCCGGTCCACCCCAGAGCTGGCTGCATTTCCACTGTGGGGGCTTCTGGTTGTCCGGCTTCCCTGGTGCTTATGGGGGGTCTTAGACTCCAGGGGAGGGGGGCAAGCACAAGAGGCAGCCAGCCCAACTCTCTGATGCTCTCCTGAGCTGCTCCCATTGTGCCTGGGCCTTGCCCCGGCCTCTTCCCAGCTTGTCGCCCTGTCCCAGCTGCTGCTACACACGGCTCGTGGTGGCACTGGGGGTGTCTTTTTGCCTGGGACATGCGGGGAGGCAAGGGGTTAAGCCAGCTGGTACCAGCAGCACCTTCCCGTAAGGCCCAGGCGGGGAGCAGCTTTGAATAGCACAGAGCCACTGGCTAATGAGCTCCCATTGGCCCTGCGGGTCCCGTTCCCTGCAGGGGCGGCTGCCTGAGGGAGCAGTTCCCTCTAGTCCCCATCTGCTCTCCCTCCAGGCTCGAGTCCTGGCATCAGGCAGGAAGGCTGGGGAGGACGGGGCCCTGGCACATGGTGTCTGGGGCTCTGGGGAGCTCTGTGCACACGTGCATGCAGCGCAACCCATGTCCAAGGGGGTCCTGCTCCAATCCAGTGCGGTGGGGTCCGGTGGAAAGACCCGCCTGGGTGATGAACTTCACTTGTAAAGGAGTGGGGGGGTGGGAATTGTTCGTCGATGTGCGTGCGCACATGCACTGGTACACACGTGCCTGTGTGCACATGCATGTATATGTTTGCACGTGTATATGCATATGTCTGTGCTTGCACACACAGGCACATGCATGCATACATACCCACACTTACAGACAAACCCATGCGCATACACCTGCGTGCACACAAACATGCTGTGGACTCCCAGGCACATGTGTGTCCAGCCCCACACGGCCCGTCCTGCCTTTATCCCCCCACAGAGAGACACTCGGCTCCTTTGGAAAAGGGGCTGCGCTGCTCTCCCAGCTGCCCCAACCCCAGCCTGGGAGTGGGGCGCAGTTCGTCGCCATGACCCGTGGCCATGCGTGCCCCTCTCACGGGGCATGTGCAGCCACTCTGAGCACTGGGAGGCGGGGGGGGGGAGCAGAGGGCACCCCCTGTTCCCCCTCGGACAGGCTGGGCCCATGCCTGAGCCTACCAAAGAGCCAGACGCTCATCTCCAGGCCCTGACGTGGCAGGCGAGGGGGCCGGACCAGCCCTCCAGGAGCCCACAGCACCACGAGCTCCAGCCCACAAGGACTCCAGCGCTGGGAGGGAGTTTTCCCGTTTTATTTTGCATAAAGTGCCACAGTCATCGGCAGGAACCGACTCTGCCCGCCGTGCGGTGTGGACCCTCCTGGTCCTGGCACGGCACAGCTAGGAAGGGAAGGCAGTTTTGCCCAGACCCCGGGCAGCAAGGGGCTTTCCGGCGCCTGCTGTGTCCTTCCTTCTGGCCCCGCGACACAGCCGGGGCACCCCTCACCTGCTCCCATGGGGCTCTGGCCTGAGTCACAGCAGCAGTCACGGGCAGGGAGGGCTTGGCCCGGCTCCTGGGGGGCTAACAGCTGTCCTGAATCCCCCCTCTCCGGGGATGGGCAGAAGCAGGAACTGCCGGCCCCGCAGAAGGAAATTAAAACCCAGCCAGAGTCCAGTTCAGCCAATGCAGCGTCCAGGCAGGCCTGAGGCTGTCCCTCCCGGGGCAGCGGAGGAGGGGACACGCAACCGGAGGGAGACACGGGGGAGTCCGTGTCTCCGTGTTGGCAGAGCACACGGCTCTTCACGTGGCAGCGGGGGCAGTGGCTGAGCTGGCCGTGGCTGGAGAGATTGCCGCCCACGGTCCTGATTCTGGGCAAGGAGGGCAGTGGAAAGGCAGGAGCACCACCCGTCATGCCGCGATGACTACATGGGCTGCCCGGTATCACCCTGCCGCTCCAGCCCGGGCGCAACTCGTGGTTCTCCATGTACGTGGCCGGTGCCGGGAAGCGCCCGCTCGATCGGACCCCCGGGCCCTTTCCTGCTGGGCTCGGACCTTTTCTGGCCCTTGTGTTACACACCAGTGGAACCGACACGTGTGTCAAGCACTGCTACCCATGAAAGGGGTTGCCGCAAGCCCTGCCGCCTCCTGACGTGCTACATTCAGAGATCTATATGCCAGACTTGCTAGCCGTAAACCACGCTCAGGCCCCCCGGCTTGCTTGGGAGGGCCCAGCTCCAGCGATGCCTCTGTGCAAGGCTTTGCCTCGTGCACTGGCAGCTTGTTGCCAGAGAAAGCCTCTCTCCTGGTGTCCGAGGGTGGCTGGAGCTACGTGGAGCCCAGCATGGGGGAGCGAAGGCAGCTCAACTCCCCTGTCACCACCTTGCAGAGCAGGCCAGGCCCACGCAGCTCCTGGGTTTTGCTGGGCCTGGCGAGGAGGACCGCCGGCCTCCCCTCTAAATAGCAGCAGGGGATTTGTCCAGCTGTGTCCTGACAGAGGCAGAGCCTGCAGAGTTGAGGACACAGGGCCGGGGGGCTCTGTCTTCACCAGGACCCCTCGGTGCTGGCCCGGCTCGGCCCCCGGTACCCCGGGACCATCAGTGTCTGCTCTTGTAGGACAGGGTGGTTGCAACTTGTCCCTGCCTGCAGGGAGCTGCCCCCACAGCAGAGCACCAGGATGGGGGTTGCATGAAGAGGGGGGCCCCATTCCTCTTTGCTGGGCGTCTCCAGCTTGGGGGTCTGCCCAGAGCAAGGTTCGGTGCCTGCTGGGATGGCGCGGGAGCAGCGGAGCCCAACAAGGCTGTCAGGGGGTATCTCTTGCTCTGGAGTCTGGGGGCTGCTCCCAGCATAGAGCGGGGTCTCCCAGCAGCCAAGACTCTTCCCCCACTGCCCTCTGGGGTGTCCGTAGCCCCCTTCCAGTGATAAGAGCCAGGTAGCGCCCAAATAACCCCCATGTCCACTCCAGGATGAGCACCTGCAGGGGCCCAAGACCCCAGCCCGGCTCCCAAACCTGCCCACCATATGCAGCCTGGCTCCGGGGTCAGCTCCGGAGCTCATCCCCGCACAGCCGGTGCACCTAGTCTGGTGACAGGCCGGTACGGGGGTTGGAGAGAGGCTGGGGCTGGCACTGGGGCAGCAGTGTGCACAGAGGGGGTGCATGTGTGTGTGTGTGTGTGTGTGGAGGGGGGTATTTGTGTGTGTGTGCATGGGGGGAGCTGCATGGGTGTGTGCATGGAAGGGAGGGTGTGGGCGTGTGCACGCAAGGGTCTGTGTGCCTGCATGCAGGGTTGTGTGTGTGGAGGGGATGCGTGTGCGTGCGTGCAAGGGCATGTGTGTGTGCATGCATGTGTGTAAAAGGGGAGTGCGGAGGGGGTTCACATGTGTGCTCATGGAGTGCATATGTGCACAGGAGTGTGGGCGTGTGCACGTGGGGATCTGTGCGTGCATGTGTGTGTGTGCAGGAGGGGGGTGCATGTGTGATTTCACAGAAGGGGTGCGTGTGTGAGTGTGCGTGCATGTGCAGACAAGGGTGTGTGGGGGTGTATGTGGAGGGGGATGCGCGTGGATGCGTGTGCGGGGTTTGTGCGTGTGCGTGTACATATGTGTGCACACACACCACCCTCCCCAGGACTCACCCCCCACGGGGACGCGCTCAGGAGAGCGCTGCAGGAGAGGGGGCAGCTGCTGTACGCACCGAAACGCACGCGCATCAGGACGCCCGGGGCTGCCCTGCAGCTGCCGCACCCACAGGCCGCCTCCCCCGCAGCCCCTCGGCACCAGCCCAGGGCACGGGGCCAGGCTCAGCACCGGCGCCATGCCCGGGACGCGGGTCGGGGCAGAGGCACCAGTCACCTGTCAAGGATTGGGGCCAGGTCGTGGCGGGCGGTGCCCTCGCTCTTGAGGTCGGCGAAGACCTGGGTGAAGTAGCGGGGGTCGGCGTTGATGCGCAGCATGCGGGCGCTGGTGGCGTGGATGATGCGCAGGCAGCGGTCCCAGAGGGCGTCCTTGCCCGCCTCCACCAGGAAGGGCTTGAGCGGGTAGGAGATCTCGTGGCCCATGTAGGAGTAAGCCAGGTAGAGGCAGGTGAGCAGGGGCGCCTGCAGGTCACGCTCGCTGGCCAGTCGATGGCCTCGCGGCACAGCAGGTACACGAACACCACGTTGGCCGGCGTCACGAAGGCCTGGTCCTGCCAGCCCTGCAGCAGCAGCGCCCGGTCCACGCTGCGCAGCCACAGCCCCGGCTCCGCCGCCGACAGGTGCTTGAGGCGGTAGCAGCGCCGGCACAGGAAGGCTCCCAGGCACTTGAGCAGCTCGCTGGTGGACGCCTGCACCACCACGCGCCGTGGTGACGAGCCCGGGGCCGCCCCGGAGACGGCGACGGCGATGGCGGGCACCCGCTGCGCGCTGAGGGGCGCCGGGGATTGCTCGTCCCCGGCAGAGCCGGCAAGGTTGGCGCAGGACAGCGACTTCTGGGCGTTGTGGTGGTTGAGCTGGGCCACGTCCTGGGCACCACGGGGGTCGTGGGTCTTGCCTCGCCCACTCCTCTTCTTGGTGGAGGCCACCAGGCGCTTCCAGGTCAAGGCCGGCAGCAGCATGGAGGGACGCTTGAGGCTGCGGTCCGCCTTGGACCCGCCGCCCTTGGCGCTGGGGTAGTGGGCGAGGGAGCCGGCGGCGCCGTCGTCGTACAGGCCAGCTTGGCGGGAGCCGGGCGACAGCGACAGCACCGTGCCCATGCTGGGGGGCGCAGGGGGGCCGCCGGCTCGGGGTCACAGGGGCGAGGCAGGCATGACCGTGCCCGGGGGCTCTCACCTGGGCATCTTGGGGGACAGGGGCTGGGCTGCCCTCCTTGCCCTTCCCCGGTGGCTCCGGCTCTTCCTCCCCAGCTGCACCGGGGTGATGCTGGAGCCGGGTGGCACGGCTGGGCACGGCCGGCCGCCCCCCCCAGCTCCAGCCAGCTGCGGCTCGGGGGCTCGGGGATGCTGATGGCGGTCCCTGCCCGGCTGGCAGCGGCTGCAGCCGGGAGCTGCGGAGCAACGCAGGAGGAGGAGACGGAGGCTGGTCCTGCTGCCGGGGAGGGGCTGAGCCAGGCAGGGCCAGGCCGGGGGGGGATCCAGCCCCCTCCCTGCCAGCCTGCCTCCAGCCTGGGGTGGGGGCTTGCCTGGGCACCAGGGATACTCCGTGCCCAGCGGGACGCAGGGGGCACCTCTGCCACCTCTCCTGAGCAGCAGGGAGGCCCCCACACCTGCATCCCCCCAAAGCCAGCCTGCCCGTGGTGTGGGGGGCGCCGAGGGAGCTGGCAGAGCAGCCCCCTCTATCTCGCCTCGCGGCTGAGATGGGGGTTTCTCAGCTGCTCTGTGCTTGCACCACCACCCCCCCCCCGTGCAGGCAAACGGGGGCCCACGGAGCCCTGTGGGCGCGGCTGGCGTGAGCTCACACCCGTGTGCACGCAGGGATGCAGTCAAGCAATGCGCGGGCACAAGGGCAGAGGTGGCACCCCTCGCCCTGCACGCAGCTCTGGGGTCACGTGTGCATGCAGAGCTCGGGGGTCACACGTATACACACTCACAGAGCTGGGGGGGGTCTCTTACACACGCACACACAGAGCTGTGGGCTCACACACGCCCGTAGAGCTATGAGGGTCTTTCTCACACACACGCGCGCAGAGCGATGGGGTCGCACACACACGTGCACACCCCCACGGGCCCGCGTGCAGGCTGCATGGCGCCTCGACAGGGCCGTGACCTGGCGCTCGGGATAACCCGGGCACACGTCACCCGTGCCGCGGGATCTCTGCGGGATCTCTGGGGGCGAGCGCAGTCGCCCCGCTACGGGGTCCCGGTCCTGCTCGGCCAGACGGGGCAGGGAGCAAGAGCGACCCACGGGTTTGGGGTCCCACCCCGACCCCTGGGGTGACACCCTTGGCGCCTCGACAGGGCCGTGACCTGGCGCTCGGGATAACCCGGGCACACGTCACCCGTGCCGCGGGATCTCTGCGGGATCTCTGGGGGCGAGCGCAGTCGCCCCGCTACGGGGTCCCGGTCCTGCTCGGCCAGACGGGGCAGGGAGCAAGAGCGACCCACGGGTTTGGGGTCCCACCCCGACCCCTGGGGTGACACCCTCCCTTCCCAGGGTCTCCACGTGGCAGGGCCTCGTGTGCCCACGCCTGTGCCACGTGCACCCGCCCCAGCCC